TGTCTCTTGGCTTCACAACTTGGTCACTAGTCACTTTTACCTTGTTACTAACACTAGCCATTGAGTAACCCTCTTTAACATAAGTCGCGAGACACGTGATATATTGCAGTCATATTTCACACTTGGTATCTACCATCACCTTAATACGACCCTATTTCTCTAAGATTTCTGCAGATCACACCGCCTTTCGTGACAAATAAAATAAATGAATAAATAATGCAATCTCAATTGATAGAAAAAATTAACTTGTCCAATTAGTTTCATATGAATATAATTATAGTTTTGATTAATATTTATGATATTATTTATGTTTTAAAATAGTTTTTATTATGAAATTATAGAAATGAATAAAAATATCAAATGCAAAATAAACATTTTTCCTTCCTATTCTTTCCGTAAATTCTCTTTCACCAAAGTCAACTATGATATAGACTATAGCAATTAAGTTATTATCTTACCTGGACAAATTCCTGTTTTAAACACATTATTTCCAATACCTGATATTCAAATGTGTGCAAAACGGGAACAAACCCTTTCTAGTTTGTTCACTGTAAAGGGTACAGGTGACATATTTATGCCATCCACATAATTTTTTGTCAACATAGCATATCATGTTAAGTGAAGATAACTATCTCGTCAAGTCATGATAACTTTCTGGTTTGTCGACAAACACCGACTTGTCTAGTCAAGATAAGCTATCACATTTGTTGCGTTAGCTATCTTGACATGACGAGACAACTAATCTTGCATCATGAATAAAATAGCTATCGCAAAAAATAGGATAGTTTATCTTGACTGGACAAGATATAAAGTCGGTGTTTGTCGACAAACCAGGAAGTTATCATAACTTGACGAGATAGTTATCTTGACTTGACATGATATGCTATGTTGACAAAAAATTATGCGGATGGCATAAATATGCCACCATACTAGAAGAATATTTTAAATTGCATTATTTGAAAGCGTTCTGTAAAGAGACAATAAGGGGTCGTGATGTACAATGAAATTGAATGATAATTCTGAGTGTGAATTATCAGCATACAATATATCAAATAACCAGCAAGTTATAGTAATAAGAATAATAAGGTGGGGCTAGTCTTTGTAACAAGGCATTATAAAGTAGGCAGTGACCAAGTTTGAGAATCCAAGAGACAACCCCTTAAGTACGAATGACTGAAACATATGTGCTTCATAAAGATAATGATTTTTCTCTGTTCAGCTCCGTATAAAGCAATATTAGTTTGTGGTATTTGTAGAGTTAGGTACTGCCAAATATTTTCAGTTGGGGAGGGGTGATGGGCACTCCCAAGCAAAAATTCCTTGTCAAGCCAAACACTAAGAGGGTTTTCAAACGCCAAACTGAGGGAGCACAAATATTAAGTAGCTATGTTTTCTATAGTACATGTATACAATTATATATAGCAAATTACTGGGAGGGGAGGTGTAAGGGTCCCCGGGTCCTACAGTCGTGTTGTTTACTTCTTACAACTAGACAATTAAGTGTTCAGTAATTTGTATAGTATTCAAGATTCATTGTCAATCTATAACAATCCAATTAAATACGTTAACTATTTATAAGGAAACCTCTCGTATAAATATAAAGCATTCTTTCTTGCATCATATTATTTAATCAAATTACCTTGTCGTTATAAATATACTTATAAAGAAAGGGGGGGGGTATTCAAATCTTGAATCCGGCTTCCGATTGGATAATATAGATCTTGGATCTCGAAATTCGATTTTTTTTTCTAACGTCGAATCTCGAATGAGCCTTCTGGGCTAAATTTTGGACGTTCATGGCGTCATAACACGAAAGGTTGTGCAGAACCTGCTTAGAATACGCGCAATTCAATACGCACTATATATTTACAGTTAAAATTGATTAAATGGTAAATTGATACAATGTAGCTTTTTTTTTTTTTTTTTTTTTTTTTTTTACAGATTATCAAGTTCCATGCATCAGTTCTCCATGTAACAATGGCGGCAGTTGCAGATCAATTTCTGACACAGAATTCACGTGTGATTGTTTATACGGGTATACTGGAGATACATGTGACGTTCTAAGTAAGGATGTTTACAAGCATTTGTCTCTGAATTTTTTTTTTATCAAATATCAAAATATGACAAAAAACTACTATATGAATAGGAACTACGTGGGATTTTTTTTTAGATTAATTTTTAACATTTATTTATACCTCATTAGAAAGCATTTTTGCCTTTTTTAAAATTTAATTCTTTGAACTGTTATGATTGATTAATTCACATTTCTTTGTATGTAAAAACGTTAATGTCTGTTGGCATCTCACTGTACTTTTTGTTGTTTAAAATGAGAAAACACAGTTTTTTTTCTCCATTCACTCTATTTAAAAAAGTGTTTTTTAATCAGAGCCAGATTTCTCCTTTCAGGCCAGTAGGAAGAAATTTCATTTGGAAGGGGGGGGGGGCACCCAAACAATCATTTGGAGGGGGCACTAAAAATCATAAAATTCCATGGCAAGCAAAAAAGGTCGTCAGACTTAATAACTGAAGCGGGCAAAAGCACAATGTACGTATTTTCTGTTGTACTGTGGAATCATCATTGTTCGTGGATTTTGTGGAATTTACGAATTAACATCCCCACGGATGCTTATTTAATATTAACGAGTAACCCACGAAATGACGTCTCCACCGACAAGGAAAATATTGCTTTCCCACGAACATCAACCCCCCCCCCCTTCACGGATTAAAATGATTCCAGTATATAGTATATATCACTATATATAGGCAAAATTATTAGCGGGGGCATGCACCCTGTGCAACCTCCCTCAACCCCCCCCCCAGTTCCAACAACCATTTCTTTGAAAGCTATATGCATCTATTAAAAGCTCCTTTTTTCTACCTAGTGTCAAAAGTTATTTTTATATGTTCATTTACTTAGCACCAGGTCGCTTTTGTAATCTGGGGAAACATCATCGAAACCATACAAGTTTATCATCGGAATATGTGTATGTCGATACTCCAAAATCAACGCTTTCAGCAGAAAAAGCATTGGATTCCAAATACTACGATCACAGGTGGAACTGCGCTGGATCACTGGACAGGAACGGTCACAGAGAGGCTTGGTGGCAAGTTACGTTCCAGTCTCCCTCAATGATCTACAAGATAAACTTTGTTTTTCGGCAAAACAGTACGTACATACAATTTTAACTGAGTAATTGACTTTGATTTTATTACTCAGAGATATAAATATTTGTAGCTATTTAAAGTATGATTTAACGTTCAGGTTATTTTTTCAATAAAAACTTAAGAACTTACACTATTGATAATTATTTTTTTTAAAAATTTATATAAAAAAAAATATTAATTTATCAGAGAACAAAGCGTTAACAATGTATTATACTCCCCATTTTTAAAAATATATACTATTTGTTACAAATTCGATAAATATTTAAGGCTCTGAATACATTCTGCAGAAATTCAGATACTTTATATACTTTCCAATTGTCCTTACCCTTTTTTAACAATAAAGCCATTACAGAGAGGTTCTGGAAATTTGTAGGAAATGTGATAGGATATGAGTTATGACATGCATACATACAGAAAGAAATACATACACACTTCGGGCAGACCTTTGGGGGGGGGGACAACTTAGTTGAGCTTATTTTTCTCAGGTAGGCTTAAAATCGAGTGATAATAAATTTTGTCTTCTCTTCTTTCGTAACGAAATGCTAAGGGGGGAGGGCTAAAATAGGCTGTGCATGCTGTCCAAGTTAATATTGTTTAAAGCTACTATCTCACTTTATTTTAGTTTCCCGACATGCCGGCTATTTTGTCTTTATAACAAATCGGACAGTCATAGCGAGGGAACTGGCCACCCTTGAACATGTGTACCATGACGTAGAACCCAAGTCAAGTCACCAGAACACTATTGTTTTTCCCGAAGGACAGTCCGGAGTACAAATGTTTCTTTATGTAAATAAATCCACGCCAAATTCGGACTTTGTTATGATAGAACCTTGCGAGGTCGAAATTTACGGTAATTTTCTTTTAATTTAAAAATCTCGTTTAATGGCTAAGATACGAAACTCGATCAATGCTTTCCATTTTTAAAAAATCTCTAAACCTCACATTAGTATTAAAAAAAATATTTTTTTTTTTGTAAATTTGTGATTATATATATATATATATATATATATATATATATATATATATATATATATATATATATATATATATATATATATATGTTTTGAAGTTCGTCTAGATTAACGATAAAATATTTTTCAGGTTGCATAGAAGATGATGTCGGTGAATGTACTTGCACAAACAAAACTATACAAGGCAAGGGCTTAGGTACGTAGAGGAAATAGCTTATAATAATAATATTATCAAAATTTGTATAATAAACTCGTAGAATTGCAACGTTATATACTAATTATATCTCTGTAGGAATTCTTTCTGACCTCATCGATATATTCTCAAAATAATAAAAGTTATTTTTGAATGGTTTGTGTCGTCCATTTACAAACTTTGTGCGACAATTTTTACTAAACGTTAAAATAAAAATTTAGTGAAATGAATCTAGATGTTTGAATAAAGTATTAGAATTGTTTTGATACCCTCTTGTATTTAAAGAAAGAACTGAAAGAACATTATATATTGTACAGACAAACAGACAATATCGTAAAAAATGCTTCAGTTTTGGATCTTTCACATCATGTGTATGCTTCATCCGTAATATAATTCAGGTCCTAGTCAATTAGAGAATTTCAAGATACTTTTTAAAGAAGTTATTTTTGAATTCGTTTGAGGTCGTTGCTTTTGAATCATATTTAATTTTTTCAGTAAAGATATTAAAAGGATTTTACTAAATAAATGTTTCTGATTAAGACAGGTAAAATGAATACAAGTAATGTAAATACATAGATACATTTCTTCCAGTTCCTTGGAGTACTAAAGCAGTATTTAACACAGGATCTCTAGCGCTCACTTGTAATACTAAATACCTGTCCATAATAAATATGTCTGAGTTCGAGAGGTCACAGTTTGTTTGGATACTAGAAGAATGTGACGGAAAACCCCAGTGTGCTCTTGATACCTCTCACATTCAGCATAAATCAATCAGCTTCTACTGTCAAGGTAGGATTTTAGGATTTACCTAAACATGCTAAAAGAAAAAAAAAGATGAACAAGATTTACTCTGTTTGAATTTTATAATATCAGCGTTACCTCCTGCTTTATTCAATTTGATTAATTCTCCCAAAATATTTTCCTAAAATATAAAAAAGACTTATTTCATACAGTGAGCTAATTTTGTTCGAATACGGGGGTTGTTCATCGACTTCTTAATTAACTTTTTTTACGTGACGTCATATTTCCAAAAAATAAATTCGAATGATTTAAACTAATAATATCACAATAAATTTCAAAAATTCAAAATTTTAAACGGGAAAATGGTGTCACGGAGCACATCAACATTAAATAATTTCCATTTAAAACTGTAAGCATATATCTGTAAAATTGTGCAAAAAGAACAAACAAGTCGTTCAAATCATTTCATATGCCAAGTTATGACTCGATACTTTGATTGTTTCGCGAAAAAGAAATCATTTTTAGAAGATATATAAGTAATCGCGGAGAAGTGACTAGCGATACAATTGTATATCGCATTATCAGAAAACAAAACATTTCTCAAAAGAGAGATGGTGCTTCATTGTCTCAGATTCTGTGAGAGTTGCGTTTCACAGTAAACAAATATAAATGAACTCGTGCTTCTAGCGCATTTGCTGGTAAACTAAATGCCTTGTAGTTAAGAAACGTTTTATATCCCCAATCCAAAGGAGAGGGGGTATACTGTTTTACCCTTGTGTTTCTGTCTGTGTGTCTGTCTAGCTGTATGTCTGTCTGTCCGTAAAAAATTGTAACAAATTTTCGTCACAGTTTTCTCAGCAACTACTCTTCGCAGATGCTTGAAATTTTAGCACACTCTATGTTAGGAATGCCATATAGCCGGATTACTTCTTGTCCGTTGTCAGCCTCTTGTTTATCCGTGCGTCTGTCCGCACCAAATTCCCGTCGCAGTTTTCTCAGCAACTTCTCATTGCAGATGCTTGAAATTTAAGCACAAACTTTGTTTAGGCATGCCATATCGTAGAATTAATTTTTTTTACAACTCCGATGTCAGCTTCCTGTTTATCCGTGCATCAGTTCGAAACTGTCTGTCAGTAACAAATTTTCGTCCCAGTTTTCTCAGCAACTGATCTTCGCAGATGCGTGAAATCTTAGCACACTCTGTGTTAGGGACGCCATATGGTGGGATTCATTTTTGTACAAATTCGATGTCAACTTCCTGTTTATCCGTGCGTCTGTCTGGAGCTGTCTGTCAGTAACAAATTTTCGTCGCAGTTTTCTCAGCAACTACTCTTTGCAGACACTTGAAATTTTAGCACACTCTTTTTTTTTTTTTTTTTTTTTTTTTTTGGCATGCCATATGGAGGGATTCATTTCTATACGAATCCGAGGTCAACTTCCTGTTTATCAATGCGTCTAATTGTGCCAAATTCAGTTGCAGTTTTCTCAGCAACTACTCATTGCAGATGTTGAAATTTTAGCACACTCTTTGTTTAGGCATGACTTAAACTGGAATTTATTTTTGTACGAATTCGATGTCTACTTCCTGTTTATCCATGCGTCTTTCCCTACCAAATATCCGTCGCAGTTACCTCAGCAATTACTCACCGCAGTTCACATGAGAGCGTATATTTACATCAGAGCGGGGGTATTCCTAGTGAACGTCGGCTCACAGACGTCTTGTTTACAATGTACATGAGTGGAATAAGGTGCCAGACAATGTTTGAAATGTACGGAGAAAGTATTTTTGAGAAATCCATGAAGTTATGTTTTGACTTGTAAAGCTTTTATGTGTGCTCCGTGATGACAAAATATGTTAATTTTAGAATTAAGTTCCATATGAATGAAACTTTACATATTAACAAAATAAACATAAAAAATAAACATTCATTAAATTTGATACATGTACTTGTAATATGCTGTTCTTGAAAATAATATAACGAAGATTGTCATTGTCGAACAACTATCCTAGTGCTTGTTTAATTTGCGAGATTTTGTAGATAAATGTGAAAATGACAACTTTACCAATGCTGTTCTCAAACATAATACGGTAAACGATTTGGAAGTACAATATCGGTGTGACGTCAGAGAAAACTTTACTGCGTTCCTAAAGTCACTTGTCTACGATTGTGAGGCGGGACGTTTACTGACACGTGGTAATCTAACGCTACAGTGTCAGAAAGGGGGACAGTGGTTTGGGGAACCTCCAGTTTGTAATGGTCAGGTTTTCTTCCATTATTCAAAGCTTAATTTTCCTTTTAAAAAACTGATAGATCTCTTAGCATTCAAATTCTAATCTAAATATTCATTCATTTCCTTTACATCCTTTTGACAATGTACAAAACTTAAATGAGAAGAAACACTTGTTAATTTATTGATATGGACTTGTGTGTACAGAGGGTTTAAATTGTGTTTTCTAGTACCTTAGTCTATAAACATGTTACAGGTAATGTATGACTTTGTCATGATAAGAAATAAATCTTTATTTTAAAACAGTCACCTGTCAGGATCCTTTCCATGAAAACAGTACCACCCTTTGTGAAACAAGTCCGTTTCCAATCTTTTTTGAGGGATATAATGTGACTTACACGTGTAGGAAAAACCATCGTCATTCTGGTGGGGATCTAATCAGAATTTGTAACGGAAGTGGAAAGTGGACAGGAAAGAAGCCTGTTTGTAAACGTAAGTATATAAAATGCAATGTAAATAAAGTTTTACATGTTTTTAAGCATAAAAAAGCATCAAAATGATTTGTTCATTTTTGAACTCTTCACAGGCTGCAAATGTCCTTGTGACAGGGTCCGATCCCAAAACTTCATCAAAGATCCAGTGGTCCTTCAGAATCGCATTGACAAATTGAAGAAAGAGCTGAAAGTAAAAATGGAAAAACTCTCCTCAACATTGAGGAGGAAAACATGTGCCAAGGACGAAAGGCAGTCTTCAACCTTTGTCGGCTCCGTCCTCGGAGGAGTAATTATCACATTTGTTGTGGTCATCATTGTATTGAGTGACATACCATTGCTCCTCAGACAAATCCGCTATGGACCTTAGATGTTATCACTGTTCTACATACGGATTCTTATGGACGTTAGACTTACTGTTCTACATACACTTACTGTTCTACATACAGATATGTTATTTACCTTAGACTGTTATTGCTCCACGTACAGATAAGTTATTTACCTTAGACTGGTATTGCTCTACATACAGATATGTTATTTACCTTAGACTGTTATTGCTCTACATACAGATATGTTATTTACCTTAGACTGTTATTGCTCTACGTACAGATAAGTTATTTACCTTAGACTGGTATTGCTCTACATACAGATATATTTTTTACCTTAGACTGTTATTGTTCTACGTACAGATATGTTATTTACCTTAGACTGGTATTGCTCTACATACAGATATGTTATTTACTTTAGACTGTTATTGCTCTACATACAGATATATTTTTTACCTTAGACTGTTATTGCTCTACACACAGATCTGTTATTGACCTTAGTCTGTTATTACTCCACATACAGATACGTATTCCAATTGTTAGGCCTTTGTTTTAATGCTGAATCTGACTACGGAATGTTCCGTCTACCTAGGGCTCACGGTGTGACCCGTCAACAGGGGATGCTTAATCCTAGGCACCTGTGACCACCCCTGGAATTTCCAGGGGTCTGTGTTTTATGCCCTCTTCACATATTTGTATTGTTTATAGGTTTTCAACATCGATCACTGTTCGTTATCTTCACCTTCCTCATTATTGACCTTTAGACTGTTATTGCTCTACCTATAAATCTGTTATGGACTTTAGACGGTTATCATTTTACATACAGATTGACCTATTATTGACCTTTAGACTGTTTTATTCTACAGAAGGATTCCTTCATGTATCTTAGGACTCACTTCCACGTTAACAAATCTAATGATACAACTGTGTTTATCAATTAACAAATTTTAATGTAATATTTTTTTTTTACATCAAGACATTAACATTTCTTTTTTCAAAGTACGTTTACAATATTTGAATTTTCGTTTTATTTTTGTTTGTTTGTTTGTGTATTATTATTATTATTATTATTATTATTATTATTATGGGGTTTTTTTTCATTGAAGAGATCATATACATTTGTAATTCAAATCATTCATAGATGACTGTCATAGTATATGTTCTAGAGAATCTGAAAAGTTCCATGGATGGAGCAAACGTGAAAAGGAATCATGATTCATTAAATACATAATTGATGTTGTATTTTCTTCCATAAAATGAGTTTCAATTTCAAGGAAAGAGACAACGTATATTGCTAAAAAATCGTTCTCCTGCCTAGACGTTTATCAACTGGCCAATAAACAAGAACATGATGAAGTCTTAAAACCTAAAAAACATCCTTCTTTTGAATTTATTAAAGAAAACATTGATTGATTGTTGTTTTACGTCCCGTTCGAGAATTTTTCACTCATATAAAGACGTTACCATATACCGGTGAAGGGCTTCAAATTTAGACCTTTACTCGGCACGCAATGCCATTGAGCAGTGAGGGTTCTTTATCGTGCCAGCGCCTACCGTGACACGGGGCCTTGGTTTTAAGGTTCTCTTCCGAATGACCCGCAACTTTCACTTCAAAGTGTCGAGCACCTTGCGAAGGAACAGTTGCTACCTATTTTTTTTTATCGACTTAGGTCAGTCGCAGCCGTGATTCGAACACATGGCCTCTCGATCACGGAGCGAGTCAAAGAAAAGAAACCCTTTATCAGATTCATCTAAAGAAGACAGGAAAAAAATTTGTATGATTATAGTACAGAAACTGACGAATTTTCTTTCTCTCGGTATTTTCCTTCCACTGGAACGAGCGTGTCAACCCAATGGTAGGAGAACACGCCATGAATATAACTGTAGCATCGCAAATGCTACACCCGACTCGTATTTTGTTTTGTTTTTCAAATCCACACCAAGGGAGAATGGTGGGGATTAAATGGATGATGAAAGTGTTTTGTAGGAATACATAAGAAAATTCTTTTCAAGAACAGCAAGGCCATGGTTAGTAATATTTATATGGAAGAATCTACAGGTAGTGAAGATTCCAATGTCTTCAAATCATAACCCCCTGTGCAGGGTTAGACCAAAATGAGAGATCAAAGTTTTACATAGGAATACATTGGCAATTCTTTTAAAAAATCTTCCTTTCAGGAACAACAAAACCATGACTAGTCAAACTAATATGGAAGCATCCGCAGGAAGCGTAGACTGGGATTCATTCAAATCTTAACCCTCGGGAGTCGGGTGTTTTACACAGGAATACATTAATAAAATCTTTAAAAATCTAAAATTGAAAAATCTTTCTTCTAAAGAACAGCAAAGCCACGATTAGTCATACTTATATGGAAGCATTCTCATGTTGTATAGATTAACATTTGTTCAATTCCTGACCACTTGGGAAGTCATAATATGTTACTAAGATTTTATATATGAATATAGAGGAAAACATCTGCTGATGAAGAATAGCAGGGCTCTTATCGTGAGTGTTATGGCCAATAAGCCTCTTGTTCCGAATAGGTTTTTCCTTTGAAATTAGAATATAAAGTATAACTAAAGGTCAAGTCCTATTATTCAAAAATGAAATACTAGTACTAACTTATTACCTAAAAATCTTGTCGGGATAGCCTTTAATCAATACTCCTTTCCAGAAATGAGTATTTTGAGCCTATTTTGAAAAACAATGCTACGTGCCTGCCTAACATAATATATGTAAAAGGGAATTTTTTCCGATTTTTTTCTCTCTACGACATTTTTTTAATTGCTTTAATATACACTGTATTTCTACTGAATTACATGATAAAAACACTTCATCTGTATTTGAACTCTCTCCTCAATAAATGTAAGTGTTCCAGCAGATATTCGATGATTGCAACACCACGGAATCACACAATCATATCCATATTTTTAAATAACAAACAGTTCTTATCCGTATAAAGAAGTTTTAACTGAATTTTTTAAGGACATGTTGAAAAGTTTATCAGATAAACTAAAATTTTAAAAATAGAGATCCTTTCACCCCCATTTGTTATTTGTTTGCAGAAAATGGAGTGATAACCTACTCCATACAAATAAATGGAGTTTAACCATCCAATTTATGTTGATTTTAGTGTTAATATTGCATGTAATACGCACCAATTTGGTGATTTACCACATAAGCAGTTTTTTTTTTCTTCAAAGGTTCAATTTTGTCATTCTTAGGCAGTTGTTGATCAAAAGATTACTAAAATTGCACATCATTACAATTCATTCAGCACAAAAGAGATAGAAAATGTCTCAAAAGGTATTATCAACTCGGAAAAATTAGTTTTCACTGAAATTATAGACTACTTTTTTCAGGATAATTAGCTATGTTTGTATCTAAAATACGGAATGTGGAATGAATTGTTAGCGAAATTCAATTTTAGCGATCTCAACACCCACTGTAAATGCCAAAATTAAATCCTCGCTAAAATTTCTGCATAATCGGCAGTTATCATAAATGTTTTTGTAACTTTGTTCAGGTATTGTTAATATTGTATGCAAATGGTTATCAATGGTTATTTTTAACAGAAAGTTTATATTGCATGCAAATAGTTAAAATTTAGTTTGAACAAAAAGTGGAGTAGTTGAGATATAAATCTATTGATTTTTTTAATTTGTCATTATATCACATGCATCCAGTAATTCCTTAATATTCTTATCATTTACATTTTTTTCTTTCTTATATTTTTGTGAATAAATTGTGAATTCTGGAAACTTTCGATGTTAATCCAGGTAAAACTGAATGTTCATATGGCATATTTAAAAATATTTATATTTCCAAAAAATGTCCTTATGATTCTTTGCAAAATAAAAAGCAGTTTATTTCTCATTATTTACATTTCCAAGTAATTTTCCTTAAGATTCTTTGCAAATTAAGAAATGCTTGTGTTCTCATGAACTCCATTGCGACGTAATAATATGATACTTGTCGTAAAAACTATAGGACTAGTGCAAACTGTTTTGTTTTAAAAATGATCCTCTATTGTCATAAATTTGTGACAAGTCATCGGAAAAATAATATAAATGTAAGGAATGAATTTTATTTTTGAGAATTCATGCAGGCATATTTCAGGAAACCCTTTAGCGCTTCTTGATTATTAGCAGGAGTGAAACTAAATTAACTTCTTAAACATTAAATTTGAAAAAAAAAATGTCATGTAGTATAAAGTTAAATGAAACATTAAGAATTCATTTCAGTAAACAAATATGTCTAAAGAAATCATGGTTCTCTACATCACAGGCCCGTAGGAATCAATTTCACTTGGGGGGGTGGGGGGCACAACCATACATTTTCAGTTGGGGGGGGGGGGCACTATCAAGTACCAAATTTCCTTGACAAGCAAAACAAGGGTCATCAGACGTTATTATTGAGGGGGCACAAGCATACATGTATAGTAGCTATGTTTTCTATAGTATTCTATATATTGGCAAAATTATTGGGGGCGCCCCCCCCCCCCCGGTTCCTACGGCCATGCATCAGACAGTCCTACCCTGAGTCAGATGCATGCTTATTGTTCCGTGTAGGTATCTCTGAAATATCCACAACTAATGACCTTGTCAACTGACATCAGTAACGAGAAACCGTCTTAATATACTAGTAAATCAGGAAGAGAGAAAAACCTTGGCCATGTCCTGAATGGTCTCTTTGGGGTCTTATCATATCCGTTTCAAAATCAAGGAAAAAAAAAGACCGCGGAGATGACCTATACAAACATGTACCAGTATAACAAAATACACTTTGATATAAACACGTGTCAAATAAGACTATGCAGAACAGCTATATCCAAGCATTGTAAAGGTAGAAAGATGTACATTTTTGGTTTTAAAATATATTACATAATACTTTCTAAGATTGGAATGAGATCTGTAGAGTAAGAGTAACATGTCTTTTGTTTTTCCTCATTGAAATACAAGGCAACAAAACATAATTTATATGGTGCAACAACGAAAACAATGTATAAACTAGATGAGATCTCGTTGCGAGCAACGAGTGGGTCTTCCGTCCGATTT